ACAAGTACAGGTGCATTTACCATTTACCATTTGTAAACCAGTGTTTCAAGTTCCTCTACTGACTTTTTATGCGTGTTATATTTCTTGTCTGTATGTATGGTTTGTTGTGTGTGGACCCCAGGAAGATTAGCTGCTACCTTGGTGGCTAATGGCGAACCAAGAATAAACAATTATGGACCCCTAACCACATACCAACTGAATTACATACAGTAAAAAGCTATACAGCTAAAGAAAAAGTGACGTGTGTGTGTTACCTGATGGGTGTGCGTGGGCTGCTGTTGTGTCGACGTACAGGTCGTGTTCGGGGTTCGAATGAGAAGCCTTCCTTTAGACTTTCTAGGACCGACGGAGCAACGTAGGTGAAACCCTGTTGGAAAATGATCATTCCTTCAGGACAGTCAATCATAGATGGATGACGTTAGCATGTCACTGGATTCCTCATTAAAACAGGTGTTTCTTGTTTTATTACAATGTTGCTTAGGTAACTTATAATCTAACTTCTGTATTATTAGTTACAAGATGGGACAGCAGTGCACTGAAGTAGACATTGACTAATCACTGGAATTAAAAGTGAGATTTCATTTCCGGTGAACTGGCGGAAAAAAGACTGTTCTCTCACAGCAAAGGCGAGCTCTGCGCTGTGGCTGAGTGTGCTATCGTCTGGACTGTCCACTGGCGTCTGCCTGGTAAACCTGGTGTCAAACTGGCTCACATCCTCATCCGATTGCTAGAGAGAGCCAGATGGGAGCCAAAAAACAAAGTTGTATTAGGATTTATTAAGGTGTATAGAAATGTGCAGTTGTGTAAGAATGTAACAAAAGACAGTGAGAGGTTTGGCAACATAAACAAGATGTTTGCTGTGTTAACTAGCTAGCCGAGAGTAACAAACATAATACCGACTTAACAAGCTATTGGACAACATAATGGGCACCAAATGACAACTGATGACTCACCAGCTGTGGCTTGTATGGCGGCTCCACTCTCTTGCTCAGCAGGTCATCCCAGTTGACGTGCCTGAAGAACGGATGTTTCTGCAGTGGCACAAAAGGGCTAATTATATATTCTCTATAGCCCCCATTTGCAGCTGAATGAACGTGAGTCCCTGAACACCAAGCTCTACTTTGGCAGCAATTTAACCACAGCCTTCAAAAGTTTTCTACTCAACCAGACTTTTTCTCACCTAAAAGTAAAGCCACTCCTGTCCCCTCAATGCTGTATATTGCACATCCTTTAAATGGCACTAAGACCATGTCGGCCTTTCTAACAAGCATTTTACACTCACACTCTACCCCATCGACATGCATGCTACTATACGTATGGCTGCCGGCCTTGATGGTATCCCTGATGTGCTCAGGGTCTGTGCTGGGCAGCTGATGGAGGTCTGACATCTTCAACCTTTCACTGGCCCAAGCAACTGTCCCCACTTGCTACAGAGCCATCTCCAATCGTGCACGTGCCAAAACAGTCCACTGCAGCGAGCCTAAACTACTCCCGCTCTGTTGGACTCACTCCCACCATCATGAAGTGCACAATAGCAACACCTATTCATTGAGTTCAGTTTAGCATTCAACACCATCATCCCCTCAAAACTGATCGGGGACCTTGGCACTGACACCTCCCTCTGCAACTGGATACTGGACTTCCTAACCAACAGAGCTCTCACCGTGAACACCGGTGTCCAACAGGGCTTTCTGATTGGTTATCTGTTCGCTGGATTACTAATAATCGGTGTCTGTATGGGCCATTAATAAACATACTGGTTGATCCCTATTCAATATCATTATCAAGTTTTCAGACAATACAACTGTGGTTTGCCTCATTGACAACAATGAGTCAGGATACAGGGAGGTCCAGAACCTGACGGTGTGGTGCAACGATAAACTGGTCCTCAACGCTAAGAAAACCAAAGAGCTTGTTGTAGACTTAAGACCAAAGACTGAACGCACACCTCCATCAGTTTTAGAGGGACAGAGGTTGAGCATGTCGCCAGCTTAATGAACTCTGCACCTCGGTGATAGGCAACCGTTATCTATACATTTATTCATTACTACTGCTTTTTGGACTTCTGGTTAGATGCTAGCCTGCATTTGGTTGCCTCAGTGCCTGTACTCTGTGATATGACACAGTCGAACATAATATTATCTCATGTTACAGCCTAACCAGTCTGTCTGTTTGATTTTCCTGTATAGCTCCTATTGTGTATCTGAGTTTGCTTTTATACTTGATGATGCACAGTACTCCAGTGAAAGGTGAGAAAGTCACTGCAGTTATTTACCTGGATATCAGCACAGTCTGGTTTACTGGAGCCAAGTCTTTGGGCTGGATTCTTCTTCAACAGCTGGAAAGAGAGTAGAGTGGAGTCAATATAAAAACTAATGATTGTGTGCTTAAAGTTTTTTAAAAAATCAAGCAAATTGTTTCCATAATACCACAAACATAATGAAACTAACACAGAGTGACAGGTAAATGCTTTCATCAGATTACAATACAGTCAGTGGAGACAGATTCATTTCACTGTTACTGATGTTCATTCATTTGGAAGGACTAATATTTTTATGTTCATGATGCCAATAACACATCTCTGTTCAGCTGCAAAACAAAGCCTTTGACCTAAATCTATTTTACTTGAATTATGTCAAATGAAAGAGAAACTATGAAGTGAAGTTTGACATTTCTGATGATTTTAAACTTTAGCTAGCTTTTGATTTTAATTATTTTGGTGTAATTTCAAATGAAAATGTAAATGCAGAGGTTGAAGGTTCATTCTTAACCTTGCAGACACTAGTTGACAAAACAATCTCAATACACTGTGTGACTGTGTGTGTGTGATAGCATGGACCTTGGGGTGAGATGGTTTTGTGAAGCCATATTAATGTCTTTAAACCTTATTATTACAATATACAAGTACAGGTCCATTTACCATTTAATTACACCCAACTGAAATAAAGTGATTTGGACCACATCTTCAGAAAATACAACTGTAGAAAGCATGGCTTATCCTGAATGATTTTTTCATAATTAAACTTTGATGGAAAGAGGTTCTCTCCCATTTCATTGTATGTATGTATTGCTTTAGAAGAGGATTACTCTGTAGGGTTAAGGGGCTTATTGATTCATCTAGAATTCAATGATCAACAGCACGCATCTGCTTTGCAAGGAATATCAGAGCATTCTTGTAGAAATGCAAACTGTAACAACCTTTTACAGACTGACATTACATACCACAACTGACTAATATAGTTTTTTGTAGCCTTCATATTGCTTTTATTTTATTTTGTGGTCAGAGATTACCACATCATGCTAAAATGAGAACTAGTATATTTTAAGCTCCACAAAGGAGAAACTTATTAATGGTGGTTATAAGGAAGAAAAGCATAAAAACATTGTCAGTCAATGACACATAAATGCCACTAAGTAAAATCATCTCATACTTTTGGACTGTGAGAAAACATGTGCATCAGGCCACTTTATAGAGTCACAGCTCAACTGAAAATAAAAATAACTCAAGGTTATTTCATATTTTCACATCAGTAAAAAAGGACTCGCTGTGGGCAAGGTACAAAAATATTTCTCCTGCCAATCGTGTGAAACCAGGATTGAAACAAAAAAACAAAATTCTCCCGAAACTACATCTGGAAATGATCTGGACATTATCTGTGTGTGTGTGTGTTGGTTGTGGTGCGTGCCGTGCGTGCGTTGCGGTGCGTGCTGTGCGTCGTGGCCGATGCCGTTGCCTGTGGTCGTCCGCAAAGCCAAAATAAGTTAAATTTAAATGAATATTGCAGTCATCGTGGACAGGTAG